TCTCAATTGAATAGACAACTAGCCAACTGTCCATCGCGATCTTGCCCTCTCCGCGCTTGGTTAAGCTACAAGGCAAATCCCAACCTCGTCGATGACTATGTGGCCATGGTGGCTAGCGAAGATCTCAACCACGTGGTGTTGATGGTCAGGGACGGTCTTGGTCTTTGTGGTGCTGGTGGCAACAGCGCCGTCTTCGTCGACAAAACAATCAAGAGATGGGTATCGCCAATTCCTTCCCTTTTGTTTTCTCGCCTAGTTAATTGCAATTTTGTCACCATTTCTACTCTCACTCATCATGACGAACATGGTAATTTTACTCCGCACATCAGCTGACATGTCCCAAGGAATTCCTCTATCGCATACCCCGGGGAAAGAAAGATTTGCTTTCCAGGGAAAATATTTGATAATCGATGCAACCATCTATAACTTCAATTAATTATTATTATTATTATTAATGATCTTGGCTGGATCTTCTTGTGCATCTTCCCTATATTTGCCAGCTATACCAATTAATCCCCCTTCCAAATTTTGCAAGAAAATTAATAGGAAGCCAAACATGAGGCGCAGGTTCTTCAACGCATTCCATAGTAACTTCGTGTTTCTGACATGTGGGTCAGCCATCTAACGGACCCATATATCAGTGACACAAAGTCCTGAGCAGTACGTTAAATTAGAGTATCCAAACCGCCAAACATGGCCTGTGTAGCCACCCCGTCCACCCTCATTCCACGTGACCGAGTTTTGCTAGCACGACCATTTCCGTTTGAATCTTGCGACATGGTTCGGGAAGTCATTTTCTGTACGCGTGGACGGAGCTACGACGACATCAGTCGGGCCTATACCTGGCCATACCTCAGGCCGGGCCGGGCTTCGAGCCGGGCCTAGCCAAGCCCGACACAAAAAAACCCAGATCCAAGCCCGGCCCAGCCATCAGCCCTGTTTTCTGGGCCTGAGCCCGACCCGAACACGTAAAAGCCCATCGGGCTTCGGGCCGACCTGGCCCGTACTTCAGAAAAACACGGAAACGATGGGCCTGAATCTGGCCCGGCCCGGCTTTCGAGCTTAAAATCTAGGCCCGAGCCCGGCCCGGGAACGGCATCGGGTCAGCCCAAGTCGGGCTTTTTTGGGCCGGGCCGTTCAGGCCGGACTAGTCGGGCTGCAGCGTGCGTGATAGACAGGCCGCCGGGTCGCCGTGCTCGGCCGGAACGGGGCAAGTGTTGTACCTTGTACGAACTATACATGCCGCACTGTGCAGCTGGGTAAGCAATCATTAGCCATCTCTTTTGTCTTTCACAAAAAAATTTCTTCTCTTCCCGTCGGCGTCGCCGCTGGTTTGTTCCATCTTTGAGTCTAGACGGAGGTGCAGAGGATTTAGGCCCCCGCTAGCAGGAGGGACCCTGTTTTCGTTTTTGTTAGGTTCAACATTTTGTTTAGGGGCTGTGTGGTGGCGGCGATGTTCTTTAGTAGGAATAATGTCTCCCACGTTCTATCCTCGTCTCGATGATGCGTCTAGCATCATCGTAGGGCTTGTGGAGTTGTGTCTCCGTCGGATCTTACGGGATTTGGTCGGTGTTGATTTTCTGTGGAGTACGAGTTTCTTCATCGGTCATGATTGCTACTTTGGTGGCTGATCCTATGGGACATTCGCACGAAGACTACCTGACTGTTTACTACAATAAGATTTGACTGACTCGGTGCTGGTTCACGGATATGATTATAATTTTTATTACCTCTATTGTTCTTTGTACTGTTATGTGTGAAGATGAATAGATGGAAAGTTTCTTAAAAAAAAGAGTACGCGCTGCGCCTTTTCTTTGCATCGTTTCTGAAATATATTTTGCTCCCTTTGCACCGATGACTGCACTCCACCCCGGCCTACTAACCACATGCTATTTTGCCGTGACCATTTCCGTTTGAAACCTCACGGCGCGGGTCGGGAAGAGAACTTTTTTGTACGCGCGGTCGGAGCTCCGGCGACATCAGTCGCACCGCAACGTGCGTGCACAGGCCACCGGGTCGCCGTGCTCGGCCGAACGGGGCGAGGCGGCGAGCACTGTACGAATTATAGTACATGCTGCGCCGTTTCTTTGCAACGTCTCAGAAAAAGGCTAGGGATATAGAGGGGCAGTAGGCCGGGGTGGGGCGCAGTCAGTCAGTCAGCCAGTCAGGAGCGAGCGAGGAAGACGAGGCGAGAGAGAGAACAGAGAAGCCGCCCGGCCACGCAAAAAAGTGTCCTTTTTCTGACCTCGTCCATTCAAGTAGTGCGAACGCTCGCCAGCGGCCACGCCCCCTGCCATGCCGCGCGCCTGCCTGCTCCTTGTCACATCCGCGCCTCGCTCCTCCAGCCCACTCTCCAGCGCCACCCGTCGCCACATTAGACTGCAACTGAGATTGTCGTCCAAATAGCCGCCGGCCGCTGGGTGTGCGTGCCGATATCGATGGGGAGCGGGAGCGGAGCAGTCGTGTGGAGGGAGATAGCGTCGTCGCCTCCGCCGGGATTCGGCCGGCCGACGGGGAGTGCGGGCGGAACAGCCTCGGGGAGCGAGAGGCCGTCACCGGCCCCGGGATTCGGCGCCGCGCGGCCGTCATCTGCGCAGTCCGGAGGTTCGCTCGCCCCCATTCACTCTGCCTCTCGCTTCCGTACGGCGAACTGTCCGTCTCTTGCTCCCGGCCGGCAAACGACGCGGCGCGCGCCTTCGGGCTCGCCTGCCTTGCTCCGATCAAACGGGCCTGCGTCTTTTTTCTTTCTGTCAGTTCCTCCAAACCCTTACCGCACGAGTCGCCGCCGCAGCGCCAAGTGTGGATTCTGTTTTTCAAGTGGCTCAATAGTTCGGTGTGACCTACCGACTATTTTTTTCCCCAATTCTTAGGATGCGCATATGGTGATAAGCTCTTCTCAATCTTTTGTTTTACATAATGTACATTTTCTTTTATCAAAATTCACACCCTAGAGCGATTTGATGCGTCAAAGACTTGCGGCAACTCCAACGCGGCTCACCAAATCGACCGCAAATCTCTAGATCCATGCTGCATTGTGTTGGGCCATGGTTGAACTATCGTTTTCAAAAGTATTATTATGCCATCATGCAGTTCATCTGGACAGACATTTGCTTGAAATTATGATAAAACAAGCCGTGTTCAGTAGTTGTTTTCAGCTTCATTCTGCTCACCACTTTGATGCTTGTAGGTTCCAAGTCTGCTGCTCGTACCGATATGTTGGTCGACGTAGGAATGGAAGCTGGCTCTGATAATCTTGAGGTTCCACCACATGTTGGGGTACTTGGTGCATTCCTTTCTTCTTTGAAACAAATATGTTCATTTTTTGATGTAGTTCTTTGCTCCAATCCTGACGGATTCGTGTATTACTTATGCATAGGGCTAGAGCACAGTTTAATGCTAGCAATTGGTACATTCTTACGCTATAGCATATATAAAAGTGCTGGAATAGCAACCGTATAATAGAATCAACTGTTTACTCCTTGATGAATTACATGCATCGTGTATTCAACATTCTAACTGGATTACTTTTTGTTACAGAATGAAAGTGCATCCCCCACGAAAGGCACAAAGAGGAAATTTGTTGTTGATGCAACCGAAGGTGCATCACCAGGTGTTAATACAAGTAACACTGGGCAGCACCAGCATTCCCGCAGAAAAGGTAAGGGTCCTGGGAAACATGCAAAGCTGGAAGACAACAAAGGTGCTACTAAGTTGGGGAGAGATCAGACACCAATCGGCGTATTTGAAGATGAATGTGTTTTCTGCCATTCATTTAGAACCAGTGAGCCGGTAATATGCTGCATATCGTTTACACATATCAGTAAAAAATGCCTGTTGAAGTCTTCTTATTTGTACTGGCACTAAAAATGTTCACTTTTCCTATGTCAGTTCCATGGTCCGATGGTACTGTATCGCAATAGAAGGATTGTGCCCAGTGACGAGGGCAACCCTACCAACGCCATCTATATCCACGAGAAATGCATGGTTTGGTAAGTTTCTTTATACAGCATGGTTAACCCTTCATATTTAATTTATTTAGAATCATCATATGCAGTGTTCATCCATCCTTTCAATTCTTTACCCATGTTTCTGAAGGGCCCCAAAAGTGGAATCCAATGGTGATACTTTTAAGAATGTGGAGAGTGAAATCAATCGTTCTAAAAGATTGAGATGCAGAAGATGCAAACTCCGGGGAGCAGCGCTTGGTTGTTATGACAACTCCTGCAGAAAAAGTTATCATGTCCCATGTGCAATGATGATACCAGAATGCCGCTGGGATCCTGTAAGCTTTTGAGTATAGCTTGTCCTTGATCCATTTATAAACACTGATGCTCTGACATGTCTAGTTTTGATTTTGAAGGAGAATCACCGTGTTTGGTGCCCCAAGCATGCGCCACCTGATGAGCTGAGCTCACCAACAATGGAGAGTGACACTCTTTCCCCCGTCCTTCAAAAGTATGTGATCTTTCTTCAACCTTCATGTAACTTGATTAATCCTTCATATTATAATTCAGTGTTGTATCTAGTCATTCCAGCCAATGTCCAGCTAAAGAAATTTCGGTCGATTACCAAATGGAAGATGAACACATTAATCCATTACCGTGCGATGAGATGAGCTCACCAGTAATTGAAAGCGACATTAATTCCGCTGTCCTTCAGAAGTTTGCGACCTTTCTTCAACCTTCTTGTTACTTGATTAATCTTTCATTTTATAACTCGGTATTTTATCTAGTCATTCCAGCCAATGTCCAACTAAAGAAATTTCGGTCGATTGCCAAATGGAAGAGGAACACATTAATCCATTACCGGGCGATGAGATGAGTTCACCAATAATTGAAACTGACATTACTTCCCCTGTCCTTCAGAAGTATGTGATCTTTCTTCAACCTTCATGCTACTTCATTAATCCTTCATTTTATAATTCAGTGTTGTATCTAGTCATTCCAGCCAATGTCCAGCTAAAGAAATTTCGGTCGATTGCCAAATGGAAGATGAACACATTAATCCATTACCGGGCGATGAGATGAGCTCACCAATAATTGAAACTGACATTACTTCCTCTGTCCTTCAGAAGTATGTGATCTTTCTTCAACCTTCATGTTACTTGATTAATCCTTCATTTTATAATTCAGTGTTGTATCTAGTCATTCCAGCCAATGTCCAGCTAAAGAAATTTCGGTTGATTGCCAAATGGAAGATGAACACATTAATCCATTACCGGGCGATGAGATGAGCTCACCAATAATTGAAACTGACATTACTTCCGCTGTCCTTCAGAAGTATGTGATCTTTCTTCAACCTTCATGTTACTTGATTAATCCTTCGTTTTATAATTCAGTGTTGTATCTAGTCATTCCAGCCAATGTCCAGCTAAAGAAATTTCTGGCGATTGCCAAATGGAAAATGAACACATTAGTCCACTCGCCACATCAAGTTCTTCTTTGCCTGGACAAGTGCCTGGGTATGCATTCTTTCTTCACCCGCCTTGGAGATGGTTCCATTCGTCTGATTAATCATCAATCTTTCATTTTGTAGTTGATTTGTTGTATTTTGTTGTTCCAGCCAATATTTAGTTAAAGGAGGAACATCTGTCCTTGATAGAAGGGAAGATCTGCAAGTAGATCAGCTGAACACCTCGAGTTCTTCCTTGCCTCAGGGGTATGCGTGGCGGAAGTTACTGATCAGATGTTCAATCACTATTGCTTAATATTCTTCTATAATTTGCATTGTATTTCATCATTACAGCCAATGTTCGGACAGAGGAAGAATTTCTGCTAATCACCGGAGAGAAGAAAAGCTAGTAAATCAGTCTAGCACCCCTGTGGATCAATGGGTTTTGCTCGGTATATCTTTAAGTGCATCAGAAAAGGTAGCATTAGACTATACTTGCAAACAATACTGTCCTTTTAGAGCATTTGGATATATCTGAACAATACTCTCATGTAGAGCTTTTGGATGTATCTGAACAATACTCTCCTTTAAGAGCATTTGGATATATCTAAACAATACTAGCAAATATGTGTGTGGACAAGTAATGCAGCAATTTTAATTTATGGTCAATATTTAATTTATATAATCTGCTGGTTTTTGAAATAAGTTCTGTTCCATACCAAGCTATGATAAAATTGTTTATGTTTGTCATGCAGGATTCCTTGAAGGAATTTGCATCCTTAACCAGTTCAACCTTGGCTGAGGAATGGGACAAAACTGTGACCCATGTAATTGTGGGCAGAAACGCCGGTGATGCATGTGGCAGATCATATGAGGTCCTGATGGCGATACTCTCTGGGAAATGGGTTGTCACAGCCGGATGTTAGTATTAATCCATCTTACATCTCCCTTGTTTTGTATTGTTGATGATTATTGTACTACCTCCAAACTCATGCTACATACTGCTTAATGTAATAAGTTGCTGGTCTATTTGCACTTCCATTTATCCGTGGCGATCTAAAACTTATCATAGCTCGGCAGAGAATATCATTTCTCCTTGCACTGAAGTAGTTCACGTCATATTCATGTGTTAGGGATTGTGGATTGCATGGTGGAACCGATTCCAGATCTAAAAACTTGCTTGGAAAAGCCGATCCCAGGCCCGGAAATTTCTTACGAGATGAATTTCTGTGATGGCTCGTGCACATCAGGTTATGGACCAACAAAAGGAAGAGCTAGAGCTGCTGAACGGGTATGTAAACATGTCTGGCAATAATATATTATCTATGAATTCAATACAGAGAAAAACATATGTAGTGAAAACTGATCGCAGTTTGTCTTATGCATCAGTGCAGGGGATTGGTTTACAATCTTTTTGTCAAAAGGTTTGGGAACTGGTTTACATTTTTTTTTCAAAAATCTAGTATAAATATGTACTTAAGTGTTCATACAGAGGCTGTTTGATGTCAAAGGCTTTAAGTGCATCTTTAGAGAAATTTAGGTGTTCCATGGTCAGTATATTCCAAGAGCTTTTCTTTTATAAGGTGGGGTGCTAAACAGATTTTCATATGTTTTGTTTTATGAAAACAGCAGCGCTGCTTTCTAGTATTAATTAAGGTAGAAGAAATTATACATAGAGTACAGAGGGAGCATTTGAGAAATCGAGGAAGCTGGAGACATCTTTTGCAGTGTTGTTTTACAAATTCTCTTTTGAAGTGTCATTTCCCTGAATGCGATGTTTTGGAATGCATTTCAATAGTCATGGATCTTATGAATGCATTTCAGTTATTATATGTAATAAAAGCAACATTTTGATGCCTTTCTACAGCCAAATGATGAGAACATGATGTTTGCAGGCACCAAAACTGTTCTCTGGACTGCATTTCTGCCTCAGCGCCTACATAGACCCTGAAGACAGAGAAACCATCAGAAGACTCGTAGCAGCTGGTGGAGGGCAAGTACTGGAGGGAATCAGCCCAGACCGGTTGCACGAGAATCTGAATAAAAATCCAGCGGAAGTGTACTTCATCTACGACAGCGGCCCTCCAAGGAAGATCACTTCGGATTTCGATCTTATCCTTGGCAAGGAGATTCAGGAGAGCATCGAGTACGCGAAATCGGGAGTGCAGGTGATCAGCCACACGAGGCTGCTCGATGCTATCCTGTGCTATGATGCGCGGATCCTGGAAAGGAGGCTTCAGCAAGACGTGTAAGTGAAGGGCGCGCTTCAGGCAGTGGCTTTTCGCTCGTGTTACGAGAGTTTTCTGGGTTCAGCCCCCCACATGAGTAGCAGGGGGGCTGTCGAAAGTTGACGAATCACACACTCTACTCACCCTTTAGGCTATAGGGTGGTGTGTTTGTTGTTGTTTTGGTGCTGGATTGCTTGTTTAGCAGATCTTTAGTACTTGTGCCGGACGGTTGTTTCTCGGTGCTGAAGGCGCCTGCTGTGAAATGGTTGTACTTTTTTGGCGGTGACTGAAACCTCTGTTGGGCAGCATCATCTGTTTGGAATTGGATTGCCAAATCTGAAGAAATCCTGAACTGTTACATCGCCCTGCGGGTTGCGGCGTGTTCTACACCTTTTGTTCCTTGCATCTTTCTTTCGTTAGTCAAGTTGACAATTTAGTACTAAAGTAGCTTTGCTGTCACACTTCATAGTATTGCACACATCAACAGGCCCTCACCCCGTACGTGTCAAGGACCGGCCAACAGAGTAACACTACCACGGGGCTGTAGCCCTGCAATGGAGTTGGCTCTACAAAAGTCAGAGGCCAAGCTCAAACAGGTTGTTCAGAAGAGTTTACATTGCATTTTCCATTCAACCGACTCACCGTGCATGTGCTGGACGCAAACATACCCGCTTTTGATTAGGCATATATACACATACACGCATGTGAGCGACAAAGATATCCTGCCAGCAGGTATAAGCGACGACAGATGAAAATTCCACGACTTTGCTCGAACTCAATCCCAGTGGAGGCTAATAATCCCCAACTGACATGCACAGGTAATCCCACCAGGCCTCACACCCGAATCAAGACTCCAACTCCCCTCCATGCTATCCCATCGTCACCGGCTTCGGGTCGCTCCTGTTTGAGGCCTCACCGGCGCCATGCTCCTCGCTGGCGCTCGGTGTGGTGCCCCTTTCCATCTCGGGACCGTGCCTCCTCTTCTCCCCCAAATTAGGCCCGACTACATGAGCATGGCCAACGACCCCACGGTGAACCAACACGTGGTGACCCCCAACGCTCTCGATAACCCATACTACAAGAATGTCCTTGCGCACAAGGTGATGTTCTTGTCAAGGTGAAATCAAGAGGACGGTCGTCAACCAGTGGTCCATCCATGAATCATCACGCTGTCGCGTTAATTTGTGTGTGTGCTTCACTTTTTGCACTGTCTGAGGTCACCTACTTGTGATTTTCGTTCAAATTTTATGCATGTAGTTAGTTATTTCCAGAAAATTGCATTTGGAGCTCAGCCTCCATGGAGGCCTCCAAATTCAAATTTCAAATTTCATCAAAATTCATATTTTATATTTCAAAAAAATCTGAAAAAAATACAGATATTCATGAAGGCATAACACACATGTGTGTAAATTTTCAGGGTAAAATACGTTGAAATGAGGGTTGTGAAAAGAAAAATCTGAGGCTTTTTAACACATAATACTATTCATCCTCCCAAGCCATGAATTTGTCTTTATTATACAGATGAACAGATCACATTTCAAGGTATTTCATCCTAAAAATTAACACACATGCACATAACATCTTTTGTTTACTTGCACAATTTTTTCAGATTTTTTGAAGCTGAAAAGTTTGAATTTAGACTTTTTCAAAATTTTCGAGCTCGAATGAGCTCCGTCACCAAAACGACGTTCTGGTTATTTCCACCGTTCAAATTCTTTGTGTGCTTATTGGTGATGCAGTTAGGGCATCTCCAACGCCCTATCCTAAAATGGACACATTATTTGTCCGCGGACTTGTCCGGACCAGTCCGCAGACACAGATAGGGGAGTTGACCATCCAACTGCATCCTTTAAACGTCTATGGCCAGGCCCATCCAATTTTCATTTCAAATGCATAGCAATATGAGAGCTAGTTAAAGTGCGAGGTTCACATAGTGTCCAATCACAACCAAAAAGAAGCGAATGTTTATAGTTTTTACATGCGCTCGATCACAAAACTATCAGTCCGTGCAAAAACGTTACTTTTTTGCCCTGCCAGAGCGGCTATCTGAACCTCCTCGCTCACTCTACCGCCACCTTCTCTTCACGACCCGCCTCCTTCTCAGACACCAAGCGCTTCAACATCTTGACATGGGCGGCATGCACGATCATCGCGCATCATCATCCAACCCGTCCATCCTCATGGTCAACATCTTTGAATCCTCTGAAGCGGCCCCGAGCTCAACTCTCCTCTCTTAGAGCTTGGTCTTCTTCTATTCGAGGTCAATCTTCTTCTCGGTCGTCGTCATTAAGACGTTAAACCTCTCAGCCTTCTTTTTTCTCCTCCACGTCGGAGCGCTTGACACATTTCTGCTCCCTCTTCGACAAGATGTCCTTGAACGTTTCCGTTATCTTGGCTATCGCCCCTTCTCGCTTCTCCTTCTCTCACTAGTAGAAAAAGGGCCTTTTGTCCCAGTTCGTAAGGGCCTTTAGTCCCGGCGGGACTAAAGGGTCGGTACTAAAGCCTCCCCCTTTAGTCCCGATTCTTATACGAACCGGGACTAAAGGCCCTCAACTTGGCCGCTGCCTGGAGGTCCACCTTTAGTCCCGATTGGTAACACCAACCGGTACTAAAGGAAATTTTATGATTTTTTTTATTTTCAAATTTCTGAATTATTTTAACCTCTAATCTCTAATCACCCCTCATCACTGCTCAAATTAACCTTTAATCTCTAATCACCCCTCATCATTCCAAATCATCTAACTTCCCGAGCGGTCACCCATCCTCTCACTACTCCAGCCTGAGCACGCTTAACTTTCGGGTTCTATTCTCCCTCGTTTCCAAGTCTGCACTTGTTGTTTTCCTGACAATAGTAAGATGTCAATCCTATTAACCCTCAGGAATTTAGGTTGAGCATGAAGTCACACATTTCACTGTTTGAGTTTGAAACTATTGTTCTAAAAAACAATAATTATTTAGTAACACTAATATTTCTTGAATAAGTAGTTTGACCACAGTTTGACCAAAATTCAGAAAAACTGAAATAATTATTTAGTAACACTAATATTTCTTGAATAAGTAGTTTGACCACAGTTTGACCATATCTGACCAAAATCAAAAAAACTGAAATAATTATTTAGTAACACTAATATTATTGAATAATTATTTAGTAACACTAATACTTCTTGAATAAGTAGTTTGACCATAGTTTGACCAGATTTAACAAAAATTCAAAAAAAAACTGAAATTTGAGCATAACTCTTTTTCCTTTTAGAATTTGAGGATTCTAAAAATTTGCAAACAGGCCATAGGCTGTCAAAATCGGGAGCGGATTTTCGTTCTGAACATTTTGATATATTATACGTTTTTTCCGACATCGTATGCAAAAGTTATAGCCGTTTTATATTTTCCTTACATTTTTTGCAAAACATGTCCAAATTTAAGTTTTTAAATTTTCCTAACTAGTAGATGTAGTAATATAACTACCTCTCGAAGGATTTTATTTTTTGAAGTTTTTATCATTTTCTTTTGATTTTTTCGAAACAAAAAAAGCGATCCACTGGGGGGAGGGGGGTAGAGTTTGAAAATGGGACCTTTAGTCCCGGTTTGAGACACAAACCGGGACTCTCAAACCGAGACTAAAGGACATCGCACCCTTTAGTCTCGGTTCGTGCCTCAAACCGGGACTAAAGGGCTCAGGTGAACCGGGACTAATGCCTTAGCCGCACGAACCGGGACTAATGGGTTGACCCGGCCTGGACCTTTGCCCCCTTTTTTGCCAGTGTCTCCTCCCACTTCATTTCTCGGAACACCCTTCTAACCTTCTTATATTAGGCGGCTCTTCTGTTGGGTCAGTTGGATCACCAGCCTCTTCCTCGGTGCCGATGCCGATGGTATTGATGGAGTTGGCAATGGATAGTTGCCACTTGGTTCCCCATTCAATTTAGGTCCTCACTTCTATGAAGAAGACTATGCTAATGGAAAAAAGAGCTAGTTGGATTGGTGATTCCAAACCTACTTTTTGTAAGCTCTCTAGAGAATTGCTGCATTGGTTTGGTGATCATTGTGCTCTTGTTCCATTTCATCTTGTATAACCGCAATGTGATTGTGTCTATACTTGATAGTTGCCTTAGCATGAAATAATTTGATGTTTTCATCTCCAAGCTTAATACATCTAATAGCTTCCTTGCTTCGAGTAAGTATTTTTGGTATGATAGATGGTTAATCAAATGTTGTTTCAGAATCTCTCTCTATATCACAGGGATTTTGTGGCAAGACACATTGTTCTGGATTTGGGAGACACAAGAGGATGGGTTCACACGAGGTTTTTTTCAGGTTCAGCCCCACTGTAGAAGAGGTAATACTTTACTCCAGTTGATGATAATCTGGCCTCGTACAAGGGATCTCGGTACAAAGATCATATATAATGTTGGTATGTGTGTTTGTACACATGCCACGTGGGTGCCCTAACCTTGCCTTATATAGGCCCGACAAGGCTATGATCATACAACGGCCAAATCGTCCAGGTTATGGCAACACCACAATAAATGTCGTACTACTCTGTGTCATACAAAAGCTTACTAGGTTTTAGAATAGGACAGCAAATTGTTTGGCTAATTACAGTCGTAATGAGTTGTGTATTGCTATTTGGCTTCAAAGAGGTCTTCCTTATATTGAGGAGCTCTTGACAACTAATTGTAATCCCATATTGACGAGCAAACCCTAAACGACGCCTTAATGGGTGCACACCCCACCTGCTACGCTGGGCTGGGCCGGCCCGTTGTCCCTTTTTTTCTTCTGTTTAAACTGAAGGAAAGCTAAAAAGGTGCGAGGCAGAGTTCGAACTCGGGATCTCCCGGTTCTGAGAGCAGGGCACCAATGACTGAGACAAGCCGACAGATGTGCCTACATACATCTTTTACATTATTTGTTCATTGTCGAGGTCGCGGAATCTCCCAATTTTGGGATGCTTCCGAAACCCGTTTTTTGGAACGGTTTATTATTATTATTATTATTATTATTATTATTATTATTATTATTATTAT